GTGCACAGTTACCTAAGGCCAGGTACGCGGGGTGCTTCATCGCAGGACTCCACGCCTGTGTCGCAGCCCTGAGTATCTCCTTCACCCTCATCTTCCTCACAAACCCTGAAGAGAAAAGAACACAGATCTGAGACTCACCTGTCACCTCTAACGAGATAACGTCTCCCATGAATTCTAATTCCTAATGTCAGAGTCTAACATCTACATGAACAACGTCAGATCAGCCTAAAGAAGCTGAAAGTGACTTAACTTCACGTTAAATAAAAGTAACAACAAAAATGCTAACACATTTACCCTCAACAGAAATCTCTAAAACAGCAGCACTAAACTCATGCATATGCAGATATCATGTCTCAGATTCGTATTATATATAGTCTCAAATTAATTTAGCATCTTTATAAACTAGATGTGTAATAAATATCGTGTGGAGTTTCTATAGAGCAGAAGTATATGTTTATAATCACAGTTGTTTATTCCTGATTATCTGCTGTTAGCGTTAGCATTAACCTAACCGCTCCAAACACACGCAATAAAGCATCACAAGATCTCGAGTTGATCTTAAAAACGTCAGATCACAGTAAGTGTTGTGTGTGTACTTACGGTTGTTTGTGATTATTAGTCTCGTTTGTGTGTTGCTGAGGGTTTAGCGGCGCTACTCGCGCGTCACTCATGGGGAATGTAGTCCGGGGCGGAGTTGTAGTCCAGTACGGCATCCGGCGAGGGACAGATTTTACGAAACGATTTGTATCTTTCTACTAATGCCAACATCGCTTAAAGTAAAAATTATTGAATTAAATATTAAATAATAAAAACGTAATTATTCACTAAAACTAAATTAAGCCAACATCGCCCATGTAGATTTTCCTGGGTCAAAAGTGAATAAATAAATAAAAATAAAATAAAGCTATACATCCAAATTATATACAATTATATTGTTTGTTAATGTTGTTCTTATTAACTGCATTTTATTTAGACATGTTAGTTCAAGCACTGACTACTGACCTCCCATCAGACATAAAAAGATTTTAAAAAACTATTGAAAATAAAATCATTAAAAGTAAAACATAAAATATTAAATTAATAGTGCTGTCAAACGATTAATCCATCCAAAATAAAAATAAAAATTTGTTTACATAATATATGTGTACTGTGTATACTTATTATGTATATATAAATACACACACATGCATGTATATATTTAAGAAAAATGTTTATGTATATTTTTATATAACTTATATTAAATATAAAATTATAAGACTTCAATTATAGTCTCTTCTGCTCATCAAGGCTGCATTTATTTGACCAAAAAATACAGAAAAAGAGTGATATTGTGAAATATTTTTGCCATTTAAAATAATGGTTTTCTAAGTGTATATCTGTTAAACTGTAATGTATTTCTGTGATGCGCAGCTGTATTTTCAGCATCATTCCTCCAGTCTTCAGTGTCACATGATCTTCAGAAATCATTCTTAAATGCGTTTATTTATAACAATGTCTTTATTATCACTTTTGATCAATTTAACACATCCTCTCTGAATAAAAGCATTAATTTCTTTTAAAAAAAAATTTTTTTTTTTACTGACCCCAAACTTTTGAATGGTAGTGTATGTGTATTAATATATACATAATTAATATACACAGTACACACATATATTATGCAAACAAAAATGTTATAAATACAAAAATGATTTACTTTTATTTTGGATGCGATTAATCGTTTGACAGCACTAGAAATGAACGCATACAACTAGCGTACATCTGAACAATAGACACTCGTCTAACATAAAACAACAGAAGCTCTCTTAATTTAGAAAATAATGTTATTATGCTTCACATAACGAAAGGCTGATGACAGTTTAAGGTCTCAGGTAAGAAAAGACAAACCCAACACATCACATTTAAATTAACTTTATTAGAGACAGAATTATGCACAAGTTACGGAACAGAGAGGATTCTAGCATTAGATCTCATAATGTTTGAGCGGTTCTGGTTGTTTCTCAGGATCTCCGCCTCTCTCCAGATACAGCTCGCTGTAAGGATACTGTTTAGGAGCCTGGAAACAACAACAGAAATACTAAAACTTTACGATTGAAGTATGCAATTAGTTGCAAACAGTTTCAGCTGCTAAGAAATGTGCAATTCCTAACTTGCTCGTGGTGCAGGATTAACACACTTCCCTGCTTTCTATCTTTCTACTACACAGCTTGATGTTCTCCCTTTACTCACCACAGGCTGGTAGCAGGGGAACATCTCGCCCAAACCAAACATCAGCAGCATGAAGCCCACGAACCCCAGCAGCTGGTTCCGCATCGTCCTCCACTCCACGGGGCTCGGAGACGTGTCAACCCTGTTCCTGATGTACATGTCAAAGTCCCAGTGCATCTACAACACAGACATGATAGATAGATATCAGACATGAAACAGTCTGAATCAGGAGAGAAATCTGCACAGATCAAGCAGCGTTTAAACAGCTCTAAACACATATGTGGCTGGATTTTGATGTGAGAGACAACAGCAGATGCACTTTTTCACTGGAGGAAGCGTTATTATGGATTATGGACTCAATGTATTTCAGTTAAAAGCGTCTTAATGCTGGATTTGTCTCAGCTTTTGTCTTCTCCAGATGTTAACTGATGGACTGGAGTGGCATGGATAACTTGTGATGTTTTTAATCAGCTGTTTGGACTCTCATTCTGACGGTAACAGGCATCTATGGTGTTTTCAACATTATATGCCACAGATCTCTCTTCAATGAAATTGAAGAGCGGCATGAAAAAAATGTGCATGCTGTCAAAACTGGAAAATTGGTTCAATGCACATGTGCAGTGACATCACTTGTGTGGATGCATCAAGCAAAAGAAGGTTTATGGGGTGAACGCTAAAGGATCAGTTCCAGAATAAAAATCTCCTGATCATTCACTCATGTCATCCAAGATGTTCGTGTCTTTCGGTCTTCAGTCGCAAAGAAATCAAGGTTTATAAGGAAAAACTGCCAGGATTTTTCTCCATATAATGGACTTCAATGGTGATCAACGGGTTGAAGGTTCAAAGTGCAGCTTCAAAGAGCTCTACACGATCCCAGCCGAGGAATAAGAGTCTTATCTAGAGAAACCATCACTCATTTTCTAAAAAAATTAACATTTATATACTTTTTAACCACAAATGCTGGTCTACGAAGGTCACGCGTGGTCAGCTCTTCGTCGGTGTGCTCCGTTTCAGAAAGGAAGGGTTTCCATTACCCTTCAAATTGCAAATTGAAAATACGCCTAATGGAAACGCGTCAATTTTGCAAAAACACCCATATATCGCAAAAAAGTTTTTACGCTCGTATGAGGTGGTTTTTCAGGCAATGCGAAAAATAAACAATTTGCAAAACTGCAATGGAAACGGCTTTTTTGCATTTACAGGTCACATGGCGTATGTAAAAAGTCATATGATCATTCTTCAATGTACTATAACCTCCAAGAAACACTTAATACGTGGCTGCGCTCCAGTATAAAGGGGCTTTCCCTGTCATTAATGCTTAGATAGTTTACACTGCACACGTCTGTGGTGTAGTGTGGCTCTGATACGGCCACTGAGTGCTTGCTTGCTAAGCCACGATGCTTGTGTTTATTCCAGCCGCACCACATGTTTCTGAAGCGGCTCTCTGTGCTGCTTCTGTAAAGATACACGCATACGCCTCCTTTGAATAAATATAGCCAAAATCTGTCAAAATCCCACCAAAATCCATTGCCATGACTTATCGCGAGAGGCAAAAGGTTACGTTTTAGTCGCATAACATTGGTTAATGGAAACGCCGTCATTTCTCAACACTTTTTTAGAAAACATCGCCAAAGTTTTGCGCAAATCTGTAATGGAAACGCGCCTATTTTCTCCTCCGACTTCAAAATCGTCTCACATCGTTGTTTGTAACGGTGTTTGACTTTCTGTGCACGTTCGCTTCGTAAACACTGGGTCGGTGCGTCCGCCTTTCCAACGGGATTACGTCATGCGTGAAGAAGTCAAGCCAGTGCAAGACATGCATCTATGGTTTTTTTCAGAAAATGAGTGATGGTTTGGCTAGGTAAGACTCTTATTCCTCGGCTGGGATCGTGTAGAGCTCTTTTGAAGCTGCACTTTGAACCTTCAACCCGTTGATCACCATTGAAGTCCATTATATGTGACCCTGCCTGTGAAATCATTTTTTTTTGTGATTTACTGTTTTCAACATAAAGATGTAGAACATTCTGTGAAAATACAACCTTTATGTCTTTAATATCGACGGAGTAGGGCCATGTCAAAGACTGAAATCAGAGTGAAATTAATAGTTGAAAACAAACGTTGATGCTTGTCATCTCATAATTCGATTTTGAGACTTTAGCCTGGATTTCACAGACAGGGTCACAAATCCTGGAACGTTTTTCTCAATGTCTTTGCGACTGAAGACAGAAAGACATGAACATCTTGACCAGTAAACGATCAGGATCCTTCCGTACCGGCTCTCCCCAGTTCCTCCTGAGATCAGGATGGTCCCACTGATACCAGGGGTCTCTCTCCTGCTGCGATCGCTCCGGAAGCATGGGGTAATCACCATACCTGCGACACAACAGAGCAAACACATCATCAACCATTCATCTTTCTGCAAACGAAACATTCACTCAGAAAGATTCTCACCCCATGCCATCCTCAGGATAAGGTTTGTAGTCTTCCAGCGTCATGTTGTATTTCTCGGCTGCTGCCGCCGTCTCCTCTGGGCTTCTGGGGTACGAACCGGGCAACATGTCCTTAGAGGGACCAGATGCTATAAAACAACACAAACGTGATCATAATAACACATTACACACAAAACCAAGAGAGAAGAACACAGACTACCTTTAAGCAGACACATTCTACGCATAAAAGCATGTATTTTAGTTAACTAGGTTAATTATATGAATGAATGAAACCTGTAATCTGAATAAAAATTCAAGACATCCTGTAGTATTAATAGTATACAGTATACAGGACTACACACTTAGAACACGGCATTTACATTTAGCAGACGCTTTTATCCAAAGCGACGTACATATGAGGACATTTAACACATAATGTGTTAAAACAAAACACCAGTTAAACCTAAAGCAACGCAGTTAACGATTTATTACATTTGTTTACAAACACGTAAACGCTGTCACGCTTAGCATGTTAGCTCCGCAGCCTTGACATGAAGGTTATCGTTCATTTTCTGCTATAAGACACTGCTTTCATAGCGTATATTCACATACTGCGAAAGAACAGATGTGTGAGACAGCACCTGCTCTTGTTCCGAGGATAATGTTTGGGATTCTCGGTGTTTTTCCTTTAGTAAGAGCTCGGGTCAGGAGACCCGCTCTGAGGGCCGCCATCTT